GAAGTTGTTTGACCTTGTTTTCGCAACTTGGTCATGTTGGTAGGAAGACTTATAGGAACGCACCTTGTCCGGAGTGAGAAACATAGCTGGATCCTTCATTAATCTAGACTTAAGATCTATGAACTTAAATAGCTTACGCTTCACTTTCTTCTAATTTCTGAATGGAGGCGTAATAAAGTATTTCATTAATTGTGTCCGAATGATACTTCTTCATTAAATTGCAGAATCGGGGAGCGATAGAGTGGAAGGAGACTGCAACCACAAAAGAGGCCACACCATCTTGGTCTTCATACTTTCGTGACGATAGTTCACCCAAAACATGAGGGCAAAAAAGGTGGCCTACTTGCTTCTTATATTCCGAATTGGTCCACGCGATGAGGCAGCTCATATTTGGGTTGGATGTCCGATGCTTTGCCTGAATGTTTGCTCATCAGTTCAGTTGAGTGGCTGCGGATGAAGTAAAGTGAAGTGGCTGCGAATGAAGTAAAGTGAAGTGGCTGTGGATGAAGTAAAGTTAAGTGGCTGCGGATGAAGTAAAGTAAAGTGGCTACGGATGAAGCGTGAAATGGGTGCAATTGAAACGGAACAGCCTTTGATCCTGCAAGGTTACCGCATGTGATTGCGTCCCGTTGCACGCGTGTTGTGTGAATGCATTGTTCTTGAAATGAGTGTCAAGTGACAGTCAACACCAGATTGCCGCCTAATCAAGCCTCCTCCTCTTGCTCGGTGCTACTCCTCGTTCTCCCCTCTCTCTCTCTCTCTCTCTCTCTCTCAACCTATCCAGCAGCCACAAACAGCTTCCGTTCAACTTGCCACACTCATTGTTTCTATTCGAAGTGTTGGCTTTTCTGTTGAATTCCATCTTTTGCCGAATCGTTCGCTCCACGTCCAGCGAAGCGTCTGGCATTGTACCAATCCATCCGGTCTCCTCTGCCAAACATGCGTTCGGCCAGTTCCGCTTTTTGCACCCACACGCCCTTGCAGGCTGTTTTGTGCTCGGATGGCCTCT